TTCAATGCCCACTTCCTCAAGGTCAGGCAATTCTGCAGGAAGCGCTTCCCGACTCGCTGGTCTGCAGGCTCTCGGCTGACTTTCGTTGGCGCACACATGCGCGTCCGGATAGCCGCCCCTGCCTAAGGGCCACTTTAACACGCCACCCCCGGCCGACGCAGCATGGACATCCATACATGAAAACACACCAATTTGAAACCACTTGAACTTGTCGCACATCGCTGGCTTATTCGCTCTCAGGCCTGACTGCACGCAATCAACAGTCGTCCTGGCTTTGCTTGCAGCCACTGCTGCTTTAGACAATATATCAGGTTTTTGCAGAATAAACCCCTCATTCTGGTGTATTTTGCTTACAACCTAGGATTTTATTTGAGGACTGTAGTCCGTCGAGTATGCTCACCACTTATTCGCCAAAAAATGATGACCCCGACCTGATTAAACAAACAACCTTCTGATCTGGCTGAATAGCGACCTCAGCAACTTCCAACTCAAATTTACCCTATGGTTTTCCTATTCCAGTTATCGGGCTCATGGATATGAAAACGCGGTTGCCGACAACCTGTCGCCAATCGTCTCTGAATTTCCAACATAATACTACCGTAAAAATCCAGGTCATACCTGAAATCAATTTATGTACAGTTATAAAAATTGATTGACATCTGAAAAAACCTCCCTTTTTGCTCGGGGAATTTTATCGCTCATCAATAGCATAATCTTTGTTTGTGAGATATTTTTTTGCACTCAGCGTGCTAATTGACAGGCATCGATAAAGTATCAAACTTTTGACATTGCATGTTATTCCTTTTTTGTGTCTGGATGAGAGTGAACCCATTTCACGAACGAGTTCGTCCGACTCAGCCCTCAATGTGATGCCCTATCTGCGAAATGTAATTTTCTCCTACCAACTAGCTGGTACCCCTTGTCGAGATCACGCCACCACATCCTCCGGCTGGTGTCCCAACTGCGCCTCAGCACAGGTCGCACATATCACCCTGGCCGCCGGCAAAAGGAATTACTTTCTCACAAGATTAACGGTCCCCCACCGGCATGTTCACTGGATTATCTCTTTCATTGCCTCGTTTGCCTCACTATCGACACTTTCAATTCGTTGTGTGTCTGCTGGGGAGCTGTGTCTGACAACCAACATTGCTGCACAATTTCCTTGTTCTTTGGGCACTGCCTCAAGGTCATGCAATATGGAAACAAGCACCTTTCAAAAAGTTGGCCTGTAGACACTTGACCGACTTCTATTAACGCGTGCATACGGGTCCAGTAAGTCGCGGCTGTCTAAGAAGCACTTGAACACGACACCCTTCGGCCGAGGCAGCATAGGCCACAAAACACGTCACACGCTCGGGTGAGGCAACACACTCCGCGGACACCATGTGTACGTGCTCCATAATTACGTAGAAGCAGCTTTCACTGTTGTCTCACCATCTAGCTCACCGGCACGACCGGTCGCAGTCAACGTGAGTCCTTAATTCGCCAGTGGTCAATGCTGCCTGCGAAAGCAGCTCGGGATTATAGGCACAATACAACCCTCATTCTAGTTACTTCTGTCGTTTCCGACAAGTTGGCATTTAGCCGTATGATTTCTGTGCTTTGAATACAAATATCACTTAGAAAATAAATGTCAAAGTGCGACAACGAAAACTATTTCGGGAATTTCTTTTAAGTAACTAAAACGATTGTTGACACTTGCAAGTGATGGAGCTATCCAGAGCCATGTCAGAGCTATACAGCCTATATGACCCTTGTTTCTAATTTAGCGGTTTAAAGGCGTTGTCAAAGAAGAACAAGGTCACTGACCTGATCACTTCAGGAGTATTTGCCATCGTTATTTATGGGCACCCAAATCCCGAGTACTATTGCATCCGAGTAAATTTCTACAAATACTGGTAGATAGGCGTGGTCGATCGGCTACA